TATTTACTTTGCTTTCATTTTGCAAAATGTTAGTGAGTATGTGCTTTGCTGTGGATTTAGAGCAATTGATGAAACATGGACCAGAATGACCTAGAAACAGACAGTACATTAAAAATGAGATATATAACAAGTATGAAAAAAAATAAAAGAATGCTCTCTAGTATAGGTGCTTCCACAGACCTCTCTAAGGAGGTGAGACTCAAGCAAAGACCTCAAGATGCTCCAAAATGAAGTGTGTGAATATGCCTGGAAAGAGGATCCCAGGCTGCAGGAACAGGAAATGCAAAAGCCCAAAGGAGTTCGCTAGGGATGTTTGAGGAAAAGGCTGATAAGCCAGTGTAGCTGAAACAGCATGATTAGAAATCAAAGAAGTAAACTGAATCCCCATCATGAACAGTGTTACAGGCTGTGAGAAGGATTTTATTTTTAGATCAGTTTTTAACTGGTAAATCCTACAAGTTGTACATATTTAATAGGGTACCATATGATGTTTAGATATGTGTGTAAATTGTGTTATGTTTACATCAGGTTAAAAATAGCTATTCATTTATAACTTTAAGGTGAAAACATTGAAAATCTTTTCCTCTTGCTTTTTTGGAAATGTATAATATATTGCTATTTATAGTTACACTGCTGTACAGTAGCACACTAGAACTTCTTATTCTATAGAGCCATAATTTAATACCCATTTGCTAACCTTCCCCCATCACTGCCTCCCTCCGACGCTCCATATTTTAGATCTCATTGGAGGGTTTATGCGAGATTCTCTTTGTTGCTTTCACATGAGTCTGATTCCAGTTCTACAAGAGACATCCCTGTGTCTACTTCAGCAGGCTCCTGGCCTCAGTTTGCTCTTAGGTAAAATGTGAATAATGATACTTAGCCCCAAACAACATTAAGAGAATTAGCTTTTGCTTGAGATCTTCAGTTTGAAAGATGATATATACTAATTGCCACTGTTCTACATAGTTATTATTTTAGTGTTTCATTTTTCTGAAATATAAAAGAATATAGATCTGTAGCCTAAAGTTTCAAAAATATCCGAGAGGTTTTATTTCAGATTTCTCCTTTAATTTCATATCAGAGATTCAGGATACCCTTTCTTTTTTGAAAAAGACACCTTAAAGTTTCCCAGGAGTTTTAATTCAGCAGGTATCATAGAATTTTAGAATGAGACAAGAGCGTAATAGATCTTCCAATCTTTTGGGCTGAGTCTAATTTTTACATAGTAGAACTTTAAAAACAGCTCCTCAGCTGTGCATAGTGGTACACATCCTCAGGAGTCTGAGGGTCCCTTGAGCCCAGGAGTTTTAAGGCTAGCCTGGGTAACAGAATGAGACACCATCTCAGGTTTTTCTTTATTATGCAAATCAAGGGCTTCGAGTGTATGAGCCATCTCTTAGAGAGGATAGCTCTCCCACAGTGAAGCTGCTCTGTGCCTTCTTGAAGTTCAATAAAATTTGTAGATCATGAATAAAATGAGCTGTAAAGGCGGTGAGGCCATGATTTTACAAGTGAAAAGACTGAGAAAAGCAGAGCATTGAGGACATTTTCACTGCTGGTTAGCCAGAATTCCTGGCTGACTACCAAGATCCTTAGTAAGGCATCTGTGCTTTCCATGGCTCTTTCAGGCATCATACTCTTTTCCCCCCATTCATGGCCTCCCTACCTCAGTGTCACGTTTAGACATAATTGCAATGTTAAAGGAGACTATTGAGCTGAATCTCACATTCCTTTCCATCTATTTCCATCTTCATCACTTGTACATGTGAAAAGCATTGCACATGCTGATTTGACTCTGTGCCATGAATATTTTGCTCGATATTTTCCTTTTTTCTGTCCTCTTTGTTTCTGGCTGTGGACTCTGAGTTTTTACCAATCATATTGCTGAAGCTGCAGGCTTTAAGCTTAGGATTTAATGATAATTCAAATTCTAACTAAGTTACAGGCTTTTCTTATTATTTTGCCTCAGAAATATATTCTAATTTTTGTCATACATATGTGATAATTCTTTAAAAAAGTGTTTTCGCATAACATAAGTGTTCAAAATGCATGTTCATTTTAAGTGAGTTCAGTAATTATGGGTCCTCTGGTTCTGTAATTTTAATAACAGATGTGTGAACCATTGTTATGAAAATAAATAAACATACACATGCAGTTACCATTATGATTAACATTTTCCTTATATATTAATCTAGATTTTTTCCCTGTAAATTTAAATGTGAGCTTTTTTTCTTTTTTTTTTTATTGTGAAAATACCGTACAGAGGGGTTACAATTATATGGGCAAGGTAATGAGTACATTTCTTATCAAGCATTGTTGCCTCCTCCTTTGTTTCCCCTTCCCATCCCTTCCCATCCTCCCCCCCTTCCCCCACCACCCATCGCCAAAGTTGTAAAGTTCGTTTTTCAACATAACGGACTTGTACATCTCATTGTGGCAATGGGTCCACCTGTATCCCTATTTAAACAATTTGTTTTTTCCCTTCCCCTCCACAAATTATACCAACATTAAATACAGTGAAAACAGGGCTTATACCATGGGGGAGGGACATACAAAGCAACAAAGAAATCAACTTATAAATATGTTAGAAATAATCGCAAGAAAGAAAAAAAACATTTGAGTCCTTATCTTGGGGTTCATTTCGCCTAACATCAACTTATCTGACTGTTTCTGCTTGTCTCAGATATATACTAGTAATTGCAAATAAGGGAAACCATGGGACCTATGTTTCTTTGGGCCTGGCACAAGACTTTATATTATCACATATATATGAGCTACAGATTGATGATCCCTAATGTGAAAATCCAGATTGGTTATTGTTATAATTTTCTTAGGGAAATGTAACTGGCAAATTAATTTATGCAAGTATTTCAAAATCTGAAAAAGTTCTGTTCCCAAGAATTTTAGATAAAGGATATTTAATGTCTATATAAACATATGAAAGTTATAAATACACACACATTTTCTAAAGTTACTTAGTCAACATTGAAAAGCAAACTGATATTCTTTTTTATTTTGGTCCAGGGCTTGAACTCAGGGCCTAGGCACTATTCCTAAAACTCCTTTTGCTCAATGGTAGCACTCTACCACTTGAGCCATAGCTCCACTTCTGGCTTTTTTTGGGGTAGTTTATTGGAGATAAGTCTTACAGACTTTCTTGCCCTGTCTAGCTTTGAACTGCAATCCTCAGATCTCAGCCTCCTGAGTACCTAGGGTTACAGGTATGGGCTACTGGTACCTGGATCTCTCCTCATGTGTGTATGTGTGGGTGTGCATGCACATGCACATGTTTGTTCACATGCATGTGCCAGTACTAAGGCTTCAACTCAGGGCCTTGCTCACAGCTGGTGCACTACTTGAACCAAGTCTGCAGTGCTGGTATTTCCTTCTTGACCTCCTTTATATCACTATATATTCTACATGGCTATTCCCTAAAATAGAAGCAGAAGCATTTGTTAGTATGTCGTGTTAGGATATGCTTCACACTGCTATATTTTTGTCATTCATTTAAAAATCAACAATATTTAATTAAGTCAAAAGTGTCTACCAACATTATTATTGTTTTTACTTTTTTTTTTTACTAAAATGAAATACCTTTTAGCTAGACATGGTAGCATATACCTATGACCCCAACACTTGGGAAGTTGAGGCAGGAGGGTCACAAGTTAGAGGCCAGGGAAGAAAGAAATATCTCCTAACATGTTTTACATATTTTGCTTGCTTGTGCTATAAAGAAAAAAATTGTTGGTGTACCAGATACTTTGGTAGAAGTTAAGTACTTTGCAAGAATGACCTGGACAAACAATATTCATTTCATGATTAAAGTCCTCAAAATAGTCAGAGATCATAATCAGATGTATGATTATGGCAAACTTGCATCTGTTTTTGTGTGTGTGCTAGTCCTAAGGTTTGAACTCAGAGACTGTGTACTATCCCTGAGGCCTTTTTGCTCAAGGCTAGTGCTCTACCACTTGATTTTTTTTTAACTGGTTGAGAGTCTCATGGACTTACCTAGGCTGACTTTGAATTGCGATCCTTAGATCTCAGTCGCTTGAGTAGGTGGGATTACAGGAGTGAGCCACTGGCACTCAGTTTTTGACAAGCTCAAATCTTCAAGCCAAATTTTGTGAGTAGGACAAGGTGCAACGGAATGTATTTCCTCAATAATTGCTGGTTCTATAGTCTTTTTGGTCTCTGTTCCGACTCCCATTCTGGAGTGATTTTTACATTTGTTATCCTGGGGAATTGCAACAGGAAAAAATTCTACTATAACAAATGTTTGACAACAGCCTGCAGTTTATAACTTATCGGAAGAAACATCAATTCATCAGATAACTCCTAACCCCCTTTGCTTACTTATTAGGCTCCAGGACTGTTTGGAGGGGAGAAGAATCAGGCACTTTTCCTCATTTCTATGGGCTTTGCTTTGCTGTGAGTTATAGCAGTGGGCCACTCCTTAGCTATTGTGAATCCCTCATTTCAAACAAATGGCACTGTGCTTCACTGGGAAGTCACTTTAAGTAGACTTTAAGCATCAAGGGCCCTGTTATACAGCGGTGAGTGCGGTATGATATGCAGGTGAGATGTAAACATACAATGTCGGTATTCGTATGTAAACTTTGTGGTGATATAAACAAGTGAAAGGATCTAGTCAAGGTTCACAATTAAATGGAAAAAGATGCTATAGACTCTGAGGAAACTGCAAGATAGAAAAGCCAGTGATTCAGATATCAAACTGTTCTGTAAATTTTAAAGTAAATCTTTGGTATTGCCCTTCTCTATATTTGATTTTCTGAGGGTAGATTACTTGAATTTCTATTATCCTTCTTTTAGAAAAAAGCAAAGAATGATGAAAAACATAATTTTAACAACTTTTCAGGGTTTCCTAAAGACTGTACACAGTGGCTGGCAAGCTCTTCAATATTCTTAGCACAAAGAAGCCATCTATATGTAATGTATATATAACAAGTATATCTTTGTTGGATTTTCCCATGTAGGTATTCAAAAGACGATATTTTTACTTGACTCAACTTCCTGATGGTTCTTATATTCTCAATTCTTATAAAGATGAGAAAAATTCAAAAGAATCTAAAGGTTGCATCTACTTGGATGCCTGCATTGATGTTGTTCAGGTAAGGCTATCAAAACAACCTTTTTTTCTCCTAAGAGAGTTACTGATGAACTATTAAGAACTTTAGGCAGCAATAAATAAGTGGGCTAAAGACTTAAAGAGAAACTTCTCTGAAGAGGAAAGAAGGATGGCCAATAGACACATGAAGAAATGCTCAACCTCCCTAGCCACAAAAGAAATGCAAATCAAAACAACATTGAGATACCACCTCACCCCAGTTAGAATGGCTATAATCAGGAACTCTAATAACAACAGATGCTGGAGGGGTTGTGGACAGAAGGGAACCGTACTACATTGTTGGTGGGAATGTAAACTTGTTCAACCACTTTGGAAAGTAGTATGGAGCTTCCTCAAAAGACTCCACATAGAGCTCCCCTATGACCCAGCAATCCCACTTTTGGGCATTTACCCAAATGTTCACAAACAAGACCACACTAAAGCTACCAGCACAACTATGTTTATTGCAGCATTATTTACCATAGCTAAGATATGGAACCAACCCAGATGCCCCTCAAGAAAATGTGGTATATACACATAATGGAATTCTATGCCTCCATCAGAAAGAATGACATTCCCCCATTTGTTAGGAAATGGAAAGACTTGGAAAAAATTATATTAAGTGAAGTAAGCCAAGCCCAAAGAAACATAGGTCCCATGGTTTCCCTTATTTTCGCAATTAAAAAATTTAATAAAAAACAAAAGAACTTAAGGCAGGACACAGTGGTTCAAGCATGCCACCCCATCTCAAAGATAACCAATACTGAAAAGGAGCTAAGGAGCTGGTACACTGGCTTAAGTGGCCTGCCTACCAAGCATGAGAGAGAGAGACACAGAGAGAGAGACAGCAAGAAAGAAAGAAAGAAAGAAAGAAAGAGCTTTCCCCCTCTTAGTGGCATCTCCATGCACCCAAACAACGTCAGAATCCTCTTCAGTGCTACACTCACTCAGCACCAATACTTAAAGCTTTATTTTTGCTGGTAACTCATGTCTTTAATCCTAGTTACTCAGGAGACTGAGATTTGAGGATCACAGTTCAAAGCCACACAAGGCAGAAAAGTTTGTGAGACTCTTATGTGTAATTAACCAGCAAAAGCTATAAGTGGTGGTATGATTCAAGTGGTTGAGTGCCGGCTTGAGTGAAAAAGCCAAGGAAGAGTATCAGGCCCTGAGTTCAAGTCCCAGTGCTGACACAACCCTCCTCCCCTGAGTTTTATTAGGTTCTTTTGAGTATGTCACCAAAATGCCTCTTGAATCTCTAGTTTCTTTCAATTTCCATTGTCTTTTTTTTTTTTCTAGTTTTCCCTTATTCCCTTTGTCCTAGTGTCTGGCCTATTTTTCTCCAGATTTGTTGTCTTGTTCCAGTCTTGTTCCTCAGACATACATTGAGTGCCTCACTTGTCTTCTCAAAACCTTCAGGCTATTGATTTAGTATTTTACAGAGAGACATCAAAAGTTCTTACCTAAAAGAAAAAAGTTCTTATCTTGACACTCAGGTCCACCATGCTTTGTCCTTCCCTTGTCCAGTCTCATCTTCCCAGCCTCACTTTATGTATTATGCGCTCTGATCGAACCAAGCTACACACTCTATGGAATTATGCATGCACTTAGCTTTCCTTTTTACTTTCTTCTCTACTTGCTATTTTTTTCCATTCTCTTGTATGATCCTTATCTTTTTAGACTCAGCTTAAATGCCACTACTAACAGGAATCATGTTCTTATTTCTTCCTCTGATGCTCACCACGAGGAAGTAAATTCTCCTTTTTTATGCTATCACTTGCTCTTCCTCTAGCTTATAATTGACTTGCACTTGAATTTGTGGTTCTTTCTTCGTTTTATTCTTTGGATCACAAAGCCTGTGTCTGATTTATTTCTGTAGCTCCTACAGTAATTAGCCATGCACACCATAGGGACTTAACAAATGTTTATTGATCTGAATTGCTGAGAAGGTATAGAAAACGAGAGTAGGGAATAGAGATCAGAGAGATTACATGCATATGAAGTCAATTGACCAAGAAAGAAGAGCCATTATTAAATAGCCAGACTGGCACAGTCTGTCTATAAGAAGGAGCACAAGACTGACTGGAAGGCAGAAATGTTGCTTTAAAATCACCAATTTACCTGAATATTTCTTTTTTGTTGTTTGGAAATATTTGGGTTTGAATCCGGGCCCTCATGCTTGGTAGGGAATCTGTATCACTTCTACCCCATCTTCTACCTTCCCCTTCCCCTTTCCTTCTTTTGCTCACCCACTTTCTGCAACACAGGACTTTGAGCTCAGGCCTTATACTTGTTAGGCATATACTCTAGCACTTTAGCCACAGCCATAGCCCTTTTATTCACACTAGTTATTTTAATATAGGATTTTACATTTTGCCCAAGTGTGTATTTTGCTCAAGTGTGTACCTGGACTGTGACCTCCTATTTTACATTTCCTGCTCTGACTGGGATGACAGACACATACCACCTGCTCCTTCTTTTGTTGAAATGGAGTCTCAAACCTCCAGCTAGCCTGGAACCACAGTCCTCTTAATCTCAGCTTCCCACATATCTGGGATGACAGGTTAGGTTCATCAGGGTTCTCATGAATTTTTGCCTAGGCTCACAATCTTCACAATCTTTCCTTCTTGAATAGATAAAATTGTAGGCATGAGCCATTGTGCCTGGTACAACTTATTCTTTGAGATAGGGTCTCACTAACATGTCCCCCAGGTTGGCCTCAAACATCAATCCTCCAAACTTGAATTGCCCATGTAGCTAGGATTATAGATATGAGCTACTGTACCCAGCAATTTATCTAAATCTTATTTTTCATCATTGCAAAGGGGGATTATTAATGCCTATATACTGTATTAAATAAGATTCCATGAGTTTGAAATACAAAACACTTTTTAATAGTATATAAATACTTGTGTAAATACAAGGTGCTTTTTATTTGTTTTGTTTTGCTCCAAATCCAGGGTTTGAGCATTCCTAGCTGAACTATTGAGCTACAGCCCCTGCCTTTGAAAAGGTGCTTTTCAAATATAATAAGAGCTTTCCTATTTTACTGGAAGATAGATGCCACATACAATTTTTGGATATTCTCAATTATACCTAGTCTATATTGACCTTTCTTTGTACTGATCCCACAATTACCTATTTATGACTCTCCCTCCAAATCTTTTCAAATATATAAATCTTTATGATTTGCTACCACAGTTAAATTTTATCTTTTTTCTCTGCTTTAAAGATGAGGAGAAGTTTTCTTAGTTCCTTCTTGAATAATTACTGTGTAGTGAAGAATATTGATTCCTCAACCTTCCTTGAAATTAATACTGAAGTACTTGGCAGGGGGTAATGTTGCATTTCTTTTGTCATGACAGAGCATGGTAAAGTAAGAGTGGGTCATTATATTTGAAGACAGGAAAAGCTTTTATTTTCCTTGTGTATGAATATACATTATAGGCCACTTCCAAGTATCTTACTGAGATTCACAATTTAACATAAACCAACTGTGGTCTTTTAGGTTACTGTAATACATCTGATATTATGTTTTAAAGTCAGTCAAGCATCTATATTCATCATGTGATCTAAAATTACTACTATATTTGTTTCATATCGCATTTGATCTGGTGTGTGTGTGTGTGTGTGTGTGTGTGTGTGTGTGTGTGTGTGTGTGTGTGTGTGTGTGTGTGTGTGTGTGTGTTTGAACTCAGGGTCTGTGCACTGTCCCTGCCTGAACTTTTCTGAGCCACAGTGCCACTTCCAGTTTTCTGGTGGTTTATTGGAGATAAGAGTCTCATGGACTTTCCTGCCAAGGCTGGCTTTCAACTGTGATCCTCAGATCTTAGACTCCTAAATAGCTAGGATTACAAGTGTGGGCTACCAATGCCCAGCTTAAGCTTGTTTTTTTTTTATTTCTAATTTTTAAAAGCTATCAAAATGCAAGGATAAGTTTAAACAGGGTAGAAATAGTAAAAATACTTGCTTATTTTGCTGGTGCTAGTTTGATTTTCTAAATGTGAGGGATTCCATGAGCCAGAAATGATAACACCTACTCACCAAATCGTAATCCTAAGGGGAGCAACAAGCATATGTGATCCAGTCATTCACTACCTAGGAGTATGAGTATTTCACACACCTATGTGCTGAGTTGAGGTAAAAATACACACACCAATAAAATGTATGAATTGCAAAGAATTCTAATGAATTGAATACATGCTTTCTTTCTCTTTTTTATCTTCTTCCAGTGCCCCAAAATGCGCCGTCATGCTTTTGAACTGAAGATGTTAGATAAGTACAGCCATTATCTGGCAGCTGAAACTGAGCAGGAAATGGAAGAATGGTTGATAACTTTAAGAAAGATTATTCAGATCAATACTGACAGTTTAGTGCAAGAGAAAAAGGAAACGGTAGAAACTACTCAAGGTCAGAATTTTTAAATGATTCATTATTTGAAGGGAAGCCCTTATCTTTGATCCATGGGAATTTTTTTTTTGTGCAGGGTGAATATAGAACTCTTCCTCTTGAAGGTTGACCTGATTCTTGATTAAAAGTGACTGCGGAGGTTGATAGACTTTTTGAAAGAGTTGGTGCTGCATGGGCCCTGACATATGAAATATGACCAGACTGAAATGGATAAGAAATTCATGGCAGATTTTCAAAAGACCATTAAAGTTTTCCCTGTGCTTTCATAATCAGAATTCTTTGCAATAAATTTCGTAGGAGAGGATGGGGCAAGAGAGATAGGGTAGTCCTCTTAGGTGATTAGTAATGGTCTGTATGGTTTGGAACATCTGCTTTTAATGAATTTACAGATGATGAAACTAGCAGCCAAGGAAAAGCTGAGAACATAATGGCCAGTTTGGAAAGGAGCATGCATCCGGAACTGATGAAGGTATGTCGTTCTTATGGCAACTTGCCTTCTACTGAGACAATGCAGGGCTAGCTATAAAAGTTTTAATGATGGATTCCATTTGGCAGTATCAATTTTGAGTGAAAAACCGCAGCAAATTGGTGAAACAGAGACTGTAAAAGTTGTATTCCTAGAGATAGACTTGCCGACTAACAAGATTTTTTTCTAGACACTAGGAAGTACTTCTAGGTTTTTGTGACCTGATTAGTTTGGTCTAATAGTTTTATTCAATTTGATTACTGTTATTCATAAAATATTATTGCAAGGGGTTAATGATGCAGATTATGTACTTGATATCCAATCAAATGACATATATAATTTCCTATGAAAATCATATTTATATGGAAATATATGTATATGAATAAGGATTTTGATGAACAGACATAGTTTGTAATTTTTTGTCTTCTTTAGGGGTTGAAATGAACCAATTTTGAAACTGAAGATTTAATTACCTTGCATACCTTAGTAGGATATATATTTTGCTCTATGTACTCTATATTAATCAGTTAGAATGTTATAACCAACTTGTTTAAATCCTGGTCACACCTATGTATGTTTTTACATTATTTCTCTTCCTGGATTATTGAGTTACACAAACTTACTAGATCCTTTTTTCTATTTTTAAATGTATCCCTGTCTCTCTCTCTCTCTCTCTCTCTCTTTTTTTTTGGTTGGTCATGGGGCTTAAACTCTGGGCTGGGGCACTGTCCCTCAGCTCTTCAGCTCAAGGAGAGCGCTCTCCCACTTGAGCCACAGCACCACTTCTGGTTTTTTAGTGCTTTATTGGAGATAAGAGTCTCAGGGACTTTCCTGCCCAGCTGGCTTTGAACTGTGATCCTCAGATCGCAGCCTCCTGAGTAGCTAGAATTACAGGTGTGAGCCACCGGCGCCTGGCTTAAATGCATCCCTCTCTTAAGCTTCTAGTCTACACTTTAAGTGATTTCAGAGGTTTTATTTGCATCCTGTATTAGCATTATCATTTCTGTGACCAAATACCTGCTATAAAGAAGTTAAAGGAAGCCTCACTCTTGTAATCCTAGTTACTCAGTTGGCTAAGATCTGAGGATCAAGGTTCAAAGACTTCTCAGGCAGGAATGTCTGTAAGACTTATCTCCAATTAACCAGCAAAAAGTCAGAAGTGGAGCTGTGCCTCAAGTGGTAGAGTGCCAATCTCAAGCTAAAAAGTTCAGGGACAGCATCTTGAGCTCTGGGTTCTAGCCCCAGGACTGACAGGAAGGAAGGAAAGGAAGGAAGGAGGGAAGGAGAGAGGGAGGAGAGAAGGGAGGAAGAGAGGAGGGGAAGGAAGGAAGGAAAAGGGAAACGAAAGGAAAAGAGAGGAATTATTTTATTCATAGTTTCAAAGAATTCAATCCATGATCACTTGGCCACATGCACCGGAGTGAGTAGTAGAACAGCTTCTTTAACTCATGCTTGTCAGGAAGCAAAGGTAGTGAAAGGAACTGTGTGGGCCAGGTAACCTTCAAAGGCACACTCCTAGTGACCTCTTTCCTATTAGGGCTTACCTCCTAAAATTTCTACAACTTCCCAGAATTATGCCACCAGATGAAACAAAGGGTTCAACACTTGAGCCTATGGAGGATAGTTTATATTACTCTCAGGTAATCTTGTACTCTTAGACTGTATAATCTGTTATGTGGTTCTTACAGGGACAGAAAAATTTCACGACTGACCCTATGTATATGTAGTTTGTTTTCACATTTATTCCTATTTTGCATCTAAAGTCTCTTGGATTTCTTTCTTTGTTTCTTTCTTTTTTTCTTTTTTGGTGCTGATCTTGGGGCTTGAATTCAGGGCCTGGTGCTGCTGTCCCTGACATTCTTTTCTCAAAGCTAGAGCTCTGCCACTTGAGCCACAGTGTTGCTTCTGACTTTTTCTCAGTACTTTATTGCGGATAAGAGTCTCACAGCTAGCTTCAACCCGATCCTCAGATCTCAGCCTCCTGAGTAGCTAGGGTTACAGGCATGAGCCACCAGCATCCAACTAGATTTATTTTTTATACTTTCTACAGAGTACAAACTTGTATTATGAAGATATGCACAGAGAGCATATACCTTATTGTGGGTCATAGTGATGGTGATATTTAACTCCCCAGCCAAGCAGACATCCTTCACCTAGCTTAAGTATATAAAAATGGAAAGTGAGCCAGGCATAGGTAATTCATCCTTGTAATCCTAGCTGCTCAGGGGACTGAGATCTAAGGATCATGGTTCATATTCAGCCTGGTCAGAAAAGTCCATGGGACTTTTTTTTTTTTTTTGTCAGTCATAGGGCTTGAACTCTGGGCCTGAGCGCTGTCCCACAACTCTTCAGCTCAAGGCGAGCGCTCTACCACTTGAGCTACAGCGCCACTTTCGTCCATGGGACTTTTACCTCCAACTAACCACCAAAAAGCCAACAGTGGAGCTGTGGGTCAAGTAGTAGAGCACTGGCCTTGAACACAAAAGCTCAGGGACAGTTCCCAGGCCCTGAGTTCAAGCCCCAGGACTGGCAAAAAAGTGGGGAATGATATACTTGTGTCCAACTGCAAGTTTCACATAAACTATATATTTAAATTGCATTTAATACTGCTTTGAAGGAAATGAAGTAATATTTCATATATGTTTTAATTTTAGTATGGAAGAGAAACAGAACAACTAAACAAACTCAGTAGAGGAGATGGAAGACAGAATCTCTTTTCTTTTGACTCGGAAGTTCAGGTATTATATTCTTTTCAAGAATCCCGGAAAGAACTATTGCTTAATCAGATAAATGATATTTGTGAAATATTGAAATCATTTATATTTTCTCTAGTGGGGAATCATAGGTTTTCATATTTATCTCATTCAAGGACTGTCACTTAAGAAATTAGTATAGGGAGAGAGAGAGTGAGAGAGAGAGAGAGAGAGAGAGAGAGAGAGTGTATTTTCTGGGTTTCCTAAATTCTTATCGTGTTGCTTCTCAATATGGATAAACTAAAGAATGTTTACAGATGATTTCAGTGTTCTTTGAACTTCAGTATAAAGAATGCTGGGTCAGCCAGGTTCTGGTGGCTCATGCCTGTAATCCTAGCTACTCAGAAGGCAAGATATGAGGATTAAAGTTTGAAGCCAGCCTGTAAAGGAAAATCTGTAAGACTTTTTATTTCTAAATAATCAGGGGAAAAAAAGCCAGATGAAGAGATTTGACTCAAGCGGTAGAGTACCAGTCATGAGCAAGAAAGCCAAGTGAGAATGCAAGATCCTGAATTCAAGTCCCTGTACCCTGTACTGAATCAAATGAAAAGTTTATTTTCCACATTTGATGTGGACATGTAGAGTTGGAATAATTTTCATATCTGGCTTAATACAATTTTACCTGGAGAGTGCTATAGCAAAGTATATGTTTATGCGTACTTTGACCTCATAGTTACTTTTTGTAGTAAGTTGTTTGTATTTATAAAATATTAGATTTAATTCCATGGTATTTTCTAATTAAATCTCTGACTTATTTGAATGGAAAAAGTCTATATATTATAGTACATAAGTATTATAGGCATTGTTAACTTAGACTATTTCAAGAAAAAAAACTATTTGGAGGGGCCGATTTTTTGGTCCCTTTTTTCTACATGAGATTTCCAATTAAAATCTCCAATTTTGTTTGAAATAGACAAATACTACATAAAGACTACATTTTTTCCTCAATAAAAAAATTGTATGATAATATAGGAAAGACTGATTTTATTTTGGTTTTGTTCTCTATTTGAATTTTTATATTTGGTGTGAAATTGAAAAAAGCAGATAGGATACAAATAATGTAAACATTTTTCTTTAATAAACATGTGAGATAAAATAAATTATTGGGAGAAATCAATTTTAATTTTCCTTTTCCTCCCAGAAGTATTATTTTGCTTTAGTCCCCAGTTGTGTGATTATTTGTAAAAAGAAAGTAGACTAGTCAGCCTCAGGAATGTCAGCTTGAAGATATTCATTCAGAAATGTACTTGGTCCAAGTGTGTCTGAGCTTTTGATTTCCTCTTGATGACTGTGCCTTAATTGGACATGTCAGGCTCTTTCATTGTACACAAAGGAGGCAATTGACTGTGGTTGAAATGAAATCCAGTATCTTTAGAAAACTTGTGGTGTAGTGTTTTTGTGGTCATGAAACTGAACTGATTTTATATTTGAGTTGTTTATCAGTGAGCTACAGCGAGAGAAAAACGAACATTTGTGATGAAGTTTTAAGCACAATTGAATTTGATATTTATTATGGAAGACAGTCTTGCCACAGAGTAATGGATGTTGAATGTGGCAAGTACCTTTCCTAAGTGAACTGCCAAGCCATAATTTCAGCTTTCTCTTTAGGCCACAGCTTGTGTGGAGAGACATGGGTTGTTGGTTTTTTGTTTGTTTTTAACCAATGACCTTAGGGAATAATGAAACATTCGCTGACCAAAGGGGATGCTCAAACTGAGCTATCTGGAAATGCCATATGTCTTAACATTGCATTGAGAGGCCTCAGAAGGGAAAGGCTTGGAGCCTGGTACCCTTTGATCAGTTCCTCTTCACATTCCACTGTGTGAGTAAGACAGGAGAACAGATAAATGGGTGAACATTAGGATTGCTCTGTATGGCAATGGCTTGCCTTCTCTGATTCCACGGACAAGACACATGTTCAAGGGGAAGCTGTCCTGTCCATTTGTAGTCCTTTTGTAGGTAAATAGACTCAGATGGAGAAATTCATCTTCAGGGTCACATATGCAGTAAGCCTCTTTAATGTGGATTTTGTTAGTAATACAGGCCAAGTTAGGACAGCTATAATTATCTAAGATTCTTTGGGCATAATACCTGTCATGGCTTGGATTACTTATGTAATTGAGAAAAATTTTTGTGTTTCTTGGCTTGAATTTTCCATACTGGCAGTGTACTTTGCTGAAATTCACCCAGTCATTTCCTGCCTGAAGTGACTATGGCCTTCATGAAAGGAAAGGAAATTGTCTCCCAATCTATACTTTTTTCCCATTTGTGAGTAAAATGTAAGTCTGTTTCAGCTGTTCTGAATGAACAGATGAACTTAGGTTGCCTGAGCCTTGGGGAACTGAGGTTTCTAGGGGTTTCTATGAGAAGAAATAGATTCTTCAATTTCCCGCCAAGAAATTCCTTGACTCCCCGTATCTTTTGTTTTGAACTTGTTTTTAATCTTAAAATACCAATGTTTGTAAAAAATATATCTCATTGCCAGTGTACATCCCTCAGCTCTGTTTGAAGTTGAGGTCTGTGTTTATTAGGTTTCTATGCATATGACTCTCCTGCTGTTTATTAGTTAGACGTAGGTGGTCTTCTCTCACCCAGCTTGGAAATTAAATGTTTCACTTAGTTTAGCATCCTTTATACTGAAGAATCTTACTACCACTAGATCACAATTGTATTTAATGGCATCAAAGAACATTGTAATCTCTCACCCCTCTTGGCCACCTATTTCCTTAGATAACCCTGACACCTAAATCCAGATTCCCACCCCAGGCCTCTCTTAGTTTTCCAACTACCTACTAATGTCACAAATTCAACACATCCCACATGGAACTTGTTTCTGCTCACCTCCTCCCAAATCTTCACAACCAAATTCATAATATCAGTCTCTGTCTGACCACCTAAGTCAGACACCTTTGTGTGATTTTTGTGGCCTCCCATAACATATTCCTTTCTATTTTGCCTGTTGGGAAATGGATAATACAAACAAATTCTGCTATCCTGGAACATATGTTTTAAGGGGGGGGAAGATAAACAATAAGCAATGAAATAATTAAAAATTAATATTAGAAAAATCACAGAAAGTGAGCATGGACTGTCAAGAAGTCTGTGATTTTCTACAGGGAGTTATAAAAGGTCTCTCTGTGGAAGTCCAATTGATCACAGGTATTACAGGTATTGCAGCTATCTGTGCAAAGAAGGTTACTGTGAGAGAATCTGAAGTGCAAAGGCCCTGGGGCTATGGCTCTACTGGGTATGCTGGTAATAGGGAAGGAGGCTAGAGAGGTTGGAGCAGAGAGATAGGGGAACAGGCAAAAATGGTAGGAGATTAGGTCAAAGAGTGAGAAGAATCAGGGAATTGTGACATACAGGGCTTTGTAGGCTATGATGTGGATATGAGACTTGCTCATTACCTTAGATCAGACTCTTCTCATCTCCTCTAGGCCTTCTCCATTAGTGTTTGAGCTCCATAAAGGCTTTCTGAATGAAAACATTAAAAAAAAGAGTTGAGAGGAGGAATGTGGAGAGAACTGTTGGAATTCTGCCACTTTCACTCTATTAATCTGAGTCTCTCTCAATCTTTATTCATGTGAACGCTATCTTTTTTAAAAGATGATTTGTTGAAAGGGGTGACATCGATCAAGATGCATTATACCGATAAACTGCTTTGTTGAAAGTCAACTTCTATGTACAACTACTTAAAGATAATAAAAATATTACAATAATTCTTACTATTTTGTAGAGGCTGGACTTTTCAGGAATTGAACCTGATATAAAGCCATTTGAAGAAAAGTGTAATAAACGATTCCTGGTAAATTGCCATGATTTAACTTTCAATATCTTGGGTCACATTGGAGATAATGTAAAAGGACCACCCACAAATGTATGTATGACTTTTCCTTCTATGCTAATTTACAGTTTTTTCCTTTCTTATGACTAAGAGCTAATTTACTAGATGAAAATTCTACTGCTGTATATTATGATAAATTGGACATGGAAGAACTTCATACACCTTGTTCTCTTGCCAAAATGTAAATGTGCTCTCATCTTGAGAGGATTTATGAAAGCCTTGCCTAGAATGGCAGATGAAGAGGGTTTTTGCCTTTGAGGATGGGGGGGATATATGCTCCCCTACCCCAAAACCTGAAAAGTCCTCACATTTATGAGTTCTGGTAGAAATACAATTTATTGTGTGAAACTGGTTCATGGCAATGACTTAAGTGTCACCAAAGCCACAGGAGGACACAGGCTGTGCAGTCTGTTCTATAGAATGACATTTGCTTCGGTCTACATAATAACCAGGTGCCATGCATCATTTGGAGTTGGTAAAAAATAATTGAAACTGTACAATCTATGGAGAGTATATTTTCTTCTCATCCCTATTTTTGGTTTCTAGTTATAAAAATATCCATAGCAATAACTGAAGTGGCAGAAATGCACCGGAGCACTTTTCCACTTGTAAAGAGTTCATCTTTATGCCATCTGGCATGAAATTTCTCTTTGTGACCAGCTCTCAAATGCCATCTGTAGGGAGGAATCATGTCTTCCAAAATTGTTGATGGGACAAAGCTTTTGTCAAGTAATTTGATGTTGACTGATAGTAATGGTTTGGAAATGTGTAGCGCAGTAAAAGTTTTAACATGACAAAATTAAAGATGTCTTTCTGCTATAAATATTGGCATTATTGGGAGGAATATTCTCTAAATACAAACAATGACTTATCTGTGGGTAATTGTTTTTGTTTAAATGTAGCTTTCGATTTCTATGTATCTTTCAAAATTTGTATAAGTTGTGAAATTCTTTACACCTGATTGAAGCTAACATTTGATTAAATCTTTTATCTTAAACACTCTTTCTTCTAGGCAAATCACTATAATGCAGTTTGAGCTAAATGATGAACTCAGAAAGGAACTACATTAACATAAAAACATCATCTTGTAATTTGTGTCTTCTTTTTATACATTCCCCCTCCTCCCAAACTTCTGTTTTAAAATGTAACTGTTTTCATTTCCAGGTTGAGCCCTTTTTTATCAATCTTGCCTTATTTGACATAAAAAACAACTGTAAGATTTCAGCTGATTTTCACATAGACCTGAACCCCCCATCTGTTCGTGACATGCTGTGGGGTGTTTCAGCCCAACTAGCCAATGATGGAAACCCAAAGGGCTCGTCACCTGAGTCTTTCATTCATGGAATCGCTGAATCACAGTTACGCTGTATAAAGCAGGTAGAGTGATCTTTTGCCTTAGTACCATACTCAGAACAAGAAACAACATCCTTGCATTATTTCATGGTTTCCGGCCAATTTTTAATGACATTCCATCTCTTGGAAGATTTGTGTGTGTATATTTCTCTAATGACTGAAGTTGGAGACAGGGAAAGATGGAAAACCAAGAACATGTTGATAACATACTGGCAAAGTAATATTTTCAGTGCAACAATGATGTGAGATTCAAAGGAAGTATTTGGTGACAGAGAATAGAGATGCACACACACCTCTGTTTGTATGTTCTGATAAAAAACAAAAGGTGTCCAAAATTTACATTTTGAAGAAAAATGGACCCTACATTACCATGTCCATTATGAGTAGGTAGTTTTAATGGAGCACAAAAACTCTTTATAGAGCCAGGCACATGTGGCTCATGCCTGTAATACTAGCTACTTAGGAGGCTGAGATCTGAGGAATGCAGTTTGAAGCCAGCCTGGGCAGAAAAGTCCATAAGATTTTTATCTCATACAAAAACAATTAAAAACCCAGAAGTGGAATTGTGGCTCAAGTGGAAGAACACTTGCCTTGACTAAAATAAGCTCAGGGCCAGTGTCCAGGCCCTGAGTTCAAGCCCTAGAAGTGTCACAAAAATATAAACTCTATAAATTAGGCACAGGTGTCTCATGCCTGTCATGATAGATACTCAGGAGGCTGAGATCAGAGGATTGCAGTTCAAAGCCAGCCAGTCAGGAAAGTCCTCTTATCTCTAACCACCAAAAAGCCTAAGTGGAGCTATGGCTTAAGTGGTAGAGCATTAGCCTTGAACATAAAAGCTAAGAGACAGTACACAGGCCCTGAGTTCAGTACACACAAACACACACACACACACACGCAGGCCCTGAGTTCAGTACACACACACACACACACACACACACACGCCCTGAGTTCAGTACACACACACACACACACACACACACACACACACCTTCTTTAGTAGATACAGGGGTTCTACTTGAAAAGAGATGGGTCCCAGCTTCATGCTCCTCTGTTCTGCCTGGTGCCAAGAATGCTCTTTAGATAAGAGTCCTAACAGTTCCTTGGCATTCTGACCTCTGACCAGACTGGATGCCATAGAGATTAGGCAGATCAGAGCTGATGGTCTGCCCTCTGGGCTTCTGTAACTGAAAGGAAATGAAAGAAAATGGGTAGGAGTAAAGTCCAAAGAGGTATATCAACAAGCTGCTTATGTGCTGAAGAGATTGAATTTTCCCCAAATAAAAACATTGATTTTTTTCCTTTATAGTTATAAAGATAAGTACATTTTTTAGGCAGAAAATGCAGATATTATACAATGTATACAGAAGCAACACTTACCTCATATATAATAACAGTTTGGTAAATACCTTTCCAGATATGTTTGGTTTATGTACATTGTATACATTATGCATATTATAAACATATGCATGCAATTTTATATCTAATGTATCCACTTAATGTCATGTTTGTCCTGTATAATGTATAGAGACAAGTCACATTTGTATTTAAGATTAACATGGTATTCCATCGATTTAGCAATGTAGTAGCATACACTTCTAGTATCAGCAACTTAATAGGCTGAGGCAGGAGAATCTTTTGAAACCAAGAGTTTGAAACCAGTCTGCCAACACAGGAAAAACTCATGGCAAAAACAAACAAATACACATACACAGGTTTTAACATGACAGAAGCACTTAGGAAAGTTTTTCAAAAAGAACTTCAACTGTGGCAAGGGCAGGATGGGAAAGAAACAACTAGAATTTGTTTTTTTAAAGATTGCTCTCTAGGTACACTGCTCAGCATACCTTCTGCAGGGCAGTCTGCCAGCCCCAGCTCACAGCTCGAGCAGCATGTTCCGGCAGTACTAGAAGCCAAGTTCTGTGACCTTGACACACTTTGATGGGCTACCCTAGTAATAACCAGCCTCCACCATGTGTGCTTCATTCCATTGAATATATGCAAGAGGTTTATATGAAATTGTGATTACTCTTACTATCCCCATTGCACAGATGAAAAATCTGAGACTGTAAAAAAAAAAAGAAGAAGAAGAAGAAATCAGACTTGTCTAAACCATAAATAGCAAAGCCTGAATTAGAACCCAGGAAATATGACTCCTGAGCTGCTGTTAACCACTTTATTCCATGCTTGCTTCTTGGGAGATTAAAGCTGAATCAGCCATTCACCAGGCTCATTATAAGTCTTTGACTTTAGGGAAATTGCTAGACTCTTACACTGTTTTCTCTCGTGCACATCTACTTCAGCAGCTTCTTTTTGGAACAAATGAGATACTCTGTTTGATATGCTTTAAAAACTGAAAATCACTCTATTAACAAAATTGGGAATGTACCAAACAGAAAAAATAGAAGTCAATACAGACTTGGTGATGGATTTTTTTCTCCTCAAATTCATTTGTATGGTGTTCCTTCAAGCAACAAACAAAACCAACTAATACAGTATTTAGATGATGCTATATTTGGAAGGACCAAAGAAGATGGAGGATGATAAGGTTATCCCACAGATATTTAAAGCAGTGTGCAACTTGGGTTGCTTTTATATTAGTGTCCTACACAAAGTATTTGGATTTTTCTGTTTGTTGCCATTGCATTCAAAGCACCAGAATTCTTTCTAAGTGCAACAAAGGAGTGTTGAGTATAAGGTGATTTAGTTTTTATATTAGGCATAATGGTAAAGGATTTTCTTTTTAACTGTAATCACTATTAATTAAGTGTGAGTAGCTACTCTATAGTTACATGCAGCTGCATTAAAAAATGTATATCTAGTTCCACTTGAGAAATACACATTATTTTATTGCTAATATACAATAGTGACACCTGTACTTAAGAGGTTAATAGATGTGAAGTTGGTAACGAAATATAAAATCCATTTCAAAATGAACAATGGGCTGGGCACCAGTGGCTCATGCTTGTAATCCTAGCTACTCAGGAGGCTGAGATCTGAGGATCTCGATTTAAAGCCAGCCCAGACACAAAAGTCCCTGTGAGACTCATCTCCAATTAATCACTCAAAAACTGGAGGCAGCACTGTGGCTCAAGTGGTAGAGTACTAGCCTTGAGCACACAGAGGCTCAGGGACAGCACCCAGGCCCTGAATCCAAGCCTCACAATGGATAAAACATAAAAAAAGAACACTGGGAGCTTTGAAATCTGTAAGAAAAGAAGTGCTACCTACTGGTTGTGGTGGTGCACACCTGTAAACCCAGCACTTAGGAGGTAGAGGTAATGAGATCTCATATTCAAGGCCAGCCCACAATGAGACCTTGTCTACAAAAATTTTTTTAAGTACTGCCTATTCTAGAAAACTTGAGTATGACCTTAATGTGGAATGTCAGCATTCTATACTAAACATATCGTTAATCAAATAGCCATATGCATAGTATTACATAAAAGTCTAACTAAAGTAAATTTTTTCCAGGGTATTTTCTCAGTGATAAATCCACATCCTGAAATTTTTCTAGTTGCCAGAATTGAAAAGGTGTTACAAGGGAATATCACACATTGTGCAGAACCCTACATCAAAAATTCAGATCCAGTAAAGGTATTTATAAAGATTATTTGTACACAATTGAGATTACTTTAGACTTTACCTTGTACTGATATGTTAAGTGACACTGTCAGAGACCCCTCTTAAATTAGAAAATAAATAATATTCTCTGCAAATTTTCGTATTGTGCGTTACGTGAGTAGGTATGCTGCAGCTTGAACATGGTCTTTTCCCCTTTTCATCTTATAATGTTAGCATAACAATTTGTTTTCTACTGGCTTATCAAAATAAGAGCTGAAGGCCATATACACGAGTCAAGATAATATCCTCTGGCAGTTACCGCCCTTCCTTCACTGCCAGTACTTCATACAGCCTAAGGAGGATGCCAGTCAGATCTGGGAAAGGAGAGCCAGTCTCTAAGTGTCCACGTGCCAATCTATCCTCCCATTTCACTCCAGACAAGGAGTTTTTCTCTGGACTCCCATGTATTTAATCCAAAGGGCTACCATTTTTGTTGACTTTTTACCTTTCTTACATTTTTCCAATGTTACGTCTTTCTTTCATGATTTGCAAGTACAATAAAATGGTAGGGATTTTTGTTGTTGCTGTTCTGGTTTGCTGAATGTACTTAAGTGACAACAACAAAAGCTGGCAACTTTTAGCCAAATGCCAGTGTGGCTCATGCCTAAAAATCCTAGCGACTTGGGAGGCTGAGAACAGGAGGATCACAATTTGAGGCCTCTTCTTGACCCATAGGTGGATGAAATGTTATGCTCCTGTCATCTCAAACTATGTGGGAGTCTGAGTTTGGGAGGAAAGAGGTATCAGACTAACCCTGGCAGAAAAGTCCATGAAACTCTTGTCTCCATGGCGAGAAACTGGGTGAAATAGTATTCACCTGTAATCCCAGTAATGATAGAAAGCTTCTAATAGGCAGGTCATGGCTCAGGTATGCACTAGGGCAAGACTTATCCTAAAAATAATTAGTGAAACAGGGGTGAAGAGCATACTCCCCATTATGCCAACAGCATTATGCTAACCTATGTATCATCATTACACATCACATCCAAATGTTTAAAAAGTCATCTGATCCCATCCTCATGTTATAAATGAGGAAACTGAGGCTTGATGAGGTTTGTAGCACAATTCACCAGTAGCACTACAGCTACTGTATGTTTAAGAGTCATCTCAGTATGTTCACAAAAAAAATTAAATTAAATTAAAAAAAAGAATCATCAAATTACTGGGCATATAACTCTAACTCTTCTGTACATCACCTTTATAATAACAATAAAAAAATTTTAAGAAGAGTCATCAGGTTGGGTACTGGTACCTGTAATTCTAGCTGCTCAGGAGGCTTAGATCTGAGGATTGATGTTCAAAGTCAGCCTGGGAAGAAAAGTTTGAGAGAGTCTTATTTCCAATTAACCACCAAAAAGCCAGAAGTGAAGCTGTGGCTCAAGTGGTAGAGCACCAGCCTTGAGCAAAAAAAAAAAGCTACGGGACATTGCCCAGGCCCTGAATTCAAGTCCCAACACACACAAAAGAGGATTACTAATCTGTTGTATGTCGCACTACATTGCATATTTTGCATATTTATTATGTGAATGATGCAGAGGAGACATATGACTAGCTTGTGAAGTCTTGAGAAAGTAGATAAAGGCTTCTCGAATTCCATATCTCTAGGGATAAAAATCCAGCCAGCGCTTCACAACCCCTTCATGGCCCATTTAGGTGGTGTAGGCAACTTATCTCCGTTGTCATCTCATTCCTTGCACAGACAGCGGCTCCTGCCTACACTAAAGTAATTACATTGATTCTTGTCACTTGTGCATTATCTTGGGAATAGAAAGATCAACTGTATCCAGAACAAACTTCTCCCAAGAATGATAAGTGTCTGCCTGCTATGCTAAAGGACACACATGTCAAAGCTCCTTAAAATGGTCTTAGTAGAGGTCTTTGGCACAAAAATAACCTACACCTGTCTTGTCTATCTTCTAATATGAAAAGTCTCTCTTAATGAGAAAACAACAAACCTTTAAGAAATGTGTAAGTCTTGCAAAATGAATAGCCGATGTATGTTGTATTTTATGTGTGGTACTTTATTGCTTTGTACCTTTTTGGTGTTTCTGTATTGGTCAATTGGGGAGGCTATTCTTTTTCCAGATGACTCTCCCTATCTTTTTTTTCTTTCTGATCTTAGACAGCCCAGAAGGTGCACAGGACAGCTAAGCAAGTGTGTAGCCGCCTTGGACAATACAGAATGCCGTTTGCTTGGGCTGCCAGGTTTGTGTAAACATAATCCTGCCCTTTCTATTTCAAGTCATCTGTGAACTTAAAGGCTGACGTCCTTAGTAGCACTCATTAGTCTTGTCTTGGCAGGTCAGTTGTATGTTCAGATGCTTAGGATATAAAAGTCCTTAGAATTTTTTTGTGCATCAGAGACCCCTTTCGAGACCCTTGCAAAATTTTCTTTGGCTTTTGTTACTGACCTGACTGATCCCCTTTGTTTTGTTGTGCTTTAAAGCAGAGCTTATTTGCTAAAGTGATGGAATTTTTTCCAGAAAACTAGATATTATAATGAATTATGTACAATATGCTCATTATTTCAGAGTTGGCTGAGTTTATAGCCTGAACATCTTATCATGGAATGATTGTAGAAAATGTGCTAATTTTTTTTGATGACACAGAATGTGATCATTAAGTGCAAGTGTATAATTAATAGATTTTCTTACTTTGTGGTAACAAGTTTAGTTAACTTATTGAGGGCAGTGTATTTGAAAGTACATATTACCGAGCCTTTTATGTTATGGTAGCTTATGCTGTTTTATCCAAATCTTGCAAGTCTATACACGGTGATGACTTACAACATGTTTTTGCCCATAGCCCAACTTTGAAGTACAACTGTCTCGGCTTGTTATGGTACAGCCTGTACAACTAACTGGAACTCATGGGGACAGGGCACCATGTTCTGAATAATTCAATCAATTATGTTCATTTGGTGCTGGGGAATAGCACATGGATAGGAAATTCTAAGTTAATTAACTCTTCTCTCTGTTACATGGTGATAGATAAAGAGTTAAATAACAGGATGATATAAATCATCATGCTGTTTGGTGGAAAGTTTTAATGTTTTATATGCTAATACATCTTTCTTGTTTTGTAGATTGGTTAAAAAAGGATAGCCAGGGATACCCAAATGGTCAAAGAGTAGAGAGTTTGGTACATGTGAATATTCTAGAAAGTAAAGTATGCTTATAAATATAAGCATACCTGTAATGCTTTGGCTTGAAAAGTCAATTGCTGTTGCTGCTACTGTTGTTGTTGTTATTGTTGTTGACTGTTCAGAACACTCAGTGGTGTTAAGTGCTTAATTATGTTTTCTTAAGAGGTGGCTATCATTGTCCCCATCTTGGATATAAGGAAACTGAGTCACAGAAGTAAAAGAAAATGAAGTCATTGCTCAAATTCATATACCATGTAGCAGAGTAGGGATATGAACATGAAGCCCCTAACTCCAAGGCCTACTCTTGACTACTGTGGTTTACTGCTCCCCTTTGGGCAGTAGCACTAACTGCTTGATTCTGTTTTACCAAAAGGAAATACAAAAGATTTTGAAATCTGCAAAGAAAGCAGCTTTGATCCCCAGTTTTGATGGGGAACTCTGTTTTCAGCAGTAGCAAGAATTCTCTCTAAAAGCTTGCCTAAGATATTTTAAAGCTGTATGATAAGTTACTGTTAAATAAGTTACTGGAAAATAAAAGCACCACATTTGAAGTAGGAACAGTGGATTTAATCAGACCTATAGCCATATCTATAGAGGCTCTGCCAGGAGGAATTATATTTCTGGCTATAAAGGTTGAGTGATTATATATTGCTTCCCATTTTAGGAGTAAATTGGCAACTTAAAAATGGAAAAAGAGGGCTGGGAAGGTGGCTCAGTGGTAGAGTGCTTGCCTTGCATGCTTGAGGCCCTGGGTTCGATTCCTCAGCACCACATAAGCAAAAAGAAAAAAGCCAGAAGTGGCGCTGTGGCTCAAGTGGTAGAGCGCTAGCCTTGA